CAGAGAAAAAAATTAAAGCCATGTATGGCTAACATAGCAATGAATTTATGGGGAGGTGACTTGTTACTTTAAAGGAATATCCAAATTAGCATTCCTCCAATCTAAGAAACAAACCATAAACTAACATATGTTTCTGAGGAAAATATTAAAAAGTATTTTAAGCTTTCCTTCATGATATTAATAGGCAAATAGAGTACTAACTAATTCTAGAAAAATGCTTCATCTAGCTTCCTGTACATGATTTTGGGTTTGAGTCTCTATCAGGTTACTAGGAATTAAGTTTTTGTACTCTGGATGTATTTAACAAATTGTGTTCCTTTAACCTCTCCGAGATCTGCTGTATTTGATCTTGGGAAATCTCATAACCTTTAGCCTACCTCGTTGTTCTATGACCCTAGCTTTGCCCCTCTACCAGATCCTTCACTGTAACTGAGGTCCAGCTTCCAATGCTGCTGTAACTAAATCTTTCCAATCTTGTGGAATAATTCTGTTCTGAGTGGCCCATGAATTTAACATCTGCTTCACTAAAGGTGAATGCATACCATATGAAACTATTGCTTCTTTAAATCTCTTCAAATCTAACATTTCTATAGGATCCCAGTTAACTTCTGAATAGCCTTGGGGATGCCTATCATCTGGTGGTCATTCTTGAATGATAACTGGATAACTTAAGATTGGTTTTCTAATTACCTTGGGCCACTTCTCTTCAGTTTCATAATGTAATGTTGCAGTAGCGTCTGTTCTAAATTCCTCTGTCTGTGTGTGAATATTTTTTTTAGTTTCATTAGTCTGTCTTTCTAAGGATTTTATCTTATCAGTCAATTTTTCATATTTGGCACTGATATCAAACAACTTTTATAGGGATAAAACAAGAAGTACCAAAATGATAATGATTATAATTGACATTATGTCAATGCCAGTTAAGTTGATTATCCCTTCATCTAATTGTTCCATTTCAAACTATTCAGTGTGGAACTATACAGAGACCTAACTCCCTGCATCATAATAGTTCCAATTTTTAACATGGGGGAAAGCATTTTTTAAATTAGTCCCCACCCACCCACCCACGTTAAGAATTCCCAGGTGTATCACCAGATCTGCTGATGATGACAGTGAAGTGTGAGGTTGGCTGTCACTGGGGAGCACAGCTAGGCAGAGAACGCAGGCTGAGGGCAGCTGCAGTTGCTCACAGGTAGCTGGGTGGCAGTCACAGAAACATTAGAAGCCTGGGCAGATGTCAAGGTCCTGGTGTCGAGGCAGCTGACCTGGTGTGGCAACAGCTCGAGGAGGAGGTCCAGGGGAAGCTCACAACCCACAGGGAGAAGGAGCTCGCCACCTGAAAAGTGGACTCGGAGGCACGTGAGGAAGAAGCAGGTGTGGTAGGCAGGCAGTTAAAGCACAGAGCTGCCTGAAGGCAGGGTTGGCAGGAAGTAGGTGCTGACTCTGGTGGCATTTGGAACCCAGGTGCCTGTGGAGTTTGGGTGGTAGCTGGAGACTTGTAGAAAGGCTGCAACAGGAAAATCCCAGACTCCCTCAGAGGGCTTGGAGAAAAGGAGGAAAGACTCCGGCTGCTGTGGCTGCAGCGGCTGCAAAGCCAGGGATGAGCGACTATCTCGTGCTTTTGTGCCACGTTGGGCACCAGATGATGCACTTACCTAATTATTATTTATCAATAAAAAATTGGGAGTGGGATATCAGGGTAAGAAACTGAATGATCAGAGAAGTGGCAGCAGAGTTACCAACGACCTCCTATCTCTTCCATTCCTCCATCCAAAAGGACTGAGATCCTCTCTAAGTCCCACCTTACTGCTTCCTGTCTCTCTGTCCTTAGTTCTCCAAAACCTCTATGGTTACTTTTGGTCAGCTAGTGGCTAGCTCCGCCCTCTGATTCAAAGCAAGCTTTATTGTCATAATGCAATCAAAATACCACACAATACCTAGCTTTGACATCTTTAAACTAGTGTGCAAATGTTCACAGCAACTCCATTATTAATGGTTCCACACTAGCAGTGATCCAAACATACCTTAACAGAAGAGCAAATTTTGAACATCCATATATGAGGATGCTCATTTCTCATAAAACAGAGATAAACAGTATGGCTTACTTTGCATTCTCCCATTAAGTGTTTTCAGACTGATTAGGTGGAAGCTCACCTCTCTACTCAGACCCGCCCCCTCAAAGCCCACCAACAGCGGCCCCTCCCCTAGAGCGGCCCTCCCATTCCAGACCCCCATCCCCTCAAAGCCTGCCAAAAGCCACCCCTCCCTGGGGCTGCTCAAGACCATACCTACAGGTTACTTAAGGCCTAGTAGCCATATTTGCCATGTGACTCTTCCTCTGCCTTTCCAAGGGTCACCCAGGATTGCTTTGCTCTGTTCATTAAATCTGGATTTATTAATTTGGTTTGATTGGCTTATTACATCAGCAGATAACCAGCAACCGAGGATTTTAAACTTATCATTTGGTGCTGAACCCAAGTACAGTTGAGTTTTCCGCTGACCACGTGGCTGTGGAGAACCACTCTGCCTTCCTGCATTCAGACTACTTCCTCAGTGAATTACCCACATCCAAGCCAAGGGCCTAAAAGGGGATCCAGGATCCCTTCTGCATCTTCCTGCCAGTCCACTTGCCCAGCCACTGCAGTGCCAGGTAACTGGCCTGTTCTGGGGTAGAGACAGTCTCTGCCTCTTGGGGTTTCTTGTCTGAGAGACTTCCAGTACAGTGATACCCCAAACCTCCACTGTTTTGGTCCCAGACTATTCTCAGGAGAACGTGCCATCATAGTCTCCGGGTATGGAGATATTTTATCTGTGCACCCCAATAAAGCTTATCTGAGGATCAGAGGGAAAAGCCAGCCACTATAGTAAACATAGAAGTCAGGCAATGGTAGCACACACCTTTAATCCTGGCATTCGGGAGGCAGAGATTTATCCAGATCTCTGTGTGTTCAAGGCCACACTGGGAACAGAGCCAAGCATGATGGCACAGGCCTTTAATCCCAGTACTAACCATAAAGGTCTGGAGGTCTGTACAGACAGACAGGAAGTGATGTAGCTGAGTGGAGAGAGGAAGTGAGATTACAGAACAGAAAGGCATATAGGCGTGGGTATAAAGGAAGTAGGTCTCTCTGGAGGCTGAGGAGTTGGTGAGGTGAGGTTGGCTGTGGTTTGTCCTATTCCTCTGATCTCCCAGTTTTAACCCCAATATCTGGTTCCAGGTTTTTTATGAGTAAGACCGCTTAGCAATTTGTTGTGCATCTAAGTCTCTGGCTAACAGCTTGTGAATGTATACTTCCAAGTGCAAGTTCACTCCCCAGACACCATATGAAATTTGTTCAAACTCGGGTTGTCTCACCGTTGACCTGAGTTGACCTGGACCGCACTGCATTCCTGTCCCCTCCCCTGCCTGTCTTCCGTGTCTTGGCATCTCTGCTCCTGGATTCTGCCTGCCAGCAATCTTGCTGCTCCTCTGCCTGCCTCTATCTCATGCTTCTGTCCAATTGCTCTCCCGGTTTTTCCAACGGTTTACTTTCTGGGATGCTCACCCTAACCTGCCTTTGCTCCCCTGATGTTTGTTCCAGCCACGCTGAGACTCATGCCCAACATGTGGCTGTTTGCTCCCCCTCCCCCAGCAGGCTGGGAGACCCACCGCTTAAGCTGCAGCTGGCTGTGTTCTCCACATGACTCTCTGCCAACTGCCCCCTTAGGTTCCCAGTTTCCGCGCTCTTCCCCCCACCCCATACTGTCCTACAATTCTAACTGCCCACCCTGCCCTTAAATCTGTTCTCCTTCAATATGCTCTGCCACATCTTCCTCTCTCCTAAACATCTTTTTTTCCCAAAATTCTCAACTTGCTGTTCTGGCTTACTCAACGGGACAGCATATGCTGGCACACTGTTCCTCAGTTTCCCTCTGTGGCATCTTCTCAGGGCAGTGGTCTGCCTGACCTGGTGGGAGCCATTATGGCCAGGGAATGTCTTTTATTTTAAGTTGGTCATCTGACACTGTTTCCCAGGAAAAGTTTGAATGTCTTTCTGTTAAATGTTTTGTTTCTGTTAAAAATTTTGTCTACTTTCTGTGTGTGGGTGGAAATGTATAAAGGTGTGGCCACTCACGCTGGTTTTAACTGGTCTCGGATGTCTGGATTTGCGTGTCCTGGATTTGCGTGTCCTGTGTGTCTTGATTATGGCTCAGCGGATGGTTACAGATAGCTGCCCTGGCTTGGGATTTGCCGCTGGGCTTTGCTGAATCTCATGTCATGAAATCTGTAAACTTGTAACTCCAGATTAGCACCACGTGGTCTGCCGTAGTGAAGATGACCACGAGGGCAGGCATGATGCTGGTTTACTGAAATATTAAAGCTATACCTCTACATCCATGCACAGGGATGAATCTTGCTGGCAGCCAGACTTTGTGACCTACCTAAAATTAAGCCATTGATATTAAAACTAAATTGTTTACAATATTAAAACTTGGTTTTGCCTTATATATCTTAGCTAAAACTAGAAACTGAATCTTCTTGCTTTTACTCTCATTGGTAAGCTGTTACTAATTGGGAAAACTGTATTGTAGCAATATATTGTGTACCTTGATAAAATTTGCCTGAAGATCAGAGAACAGAACAAGTCACTAGATTAAACATAGATGCCAGGCAGTGGTGGCACACACCTTTAATCCTAGCACTCGGGAGGCAAAGATCCATCTGGATCTCTGAGTTCAAAGTCACCCTGGACTGCATGAGATTGACTTAGTTGAGGAGATAAACAGAGCCAGGCAGTGATGGCACACATCTTTAATTCCAGCACTTAAGATCTCATGCCTTTGCTTGGGAAGCACACATGCCTTTAATCCCAGCACTAAGAAGGAAGTGATATGGCTGGGCAAAGAAAGGTATATAAGGCTTGAGGACACAGGAACTAAAGCTTTTCAGCTGGAGAGTTTTCGGCTGAGGACTCAGAGGCATTCAGTCAGAAGATTTATGGAGTTGGTGAGATGAGATGTGGCAGTGGATTGTTCCTTTGTCTCTCTGATCTTTCAGCATTTACTCCAATATCTGGCTCTGTGTTTTTTATTAAAAAGACCATTTAGTAATTTGAGCAATACTGTATGTCCAGATTTAGCTTATATATGCTCTCAAAGTTAAGCCAAAACAACATTTGTCTAATTTAGATGTACCTTACGGATTTTGTTCCCCTGATCCTCAAACACCTTTAGAAATATGAGAATATGGTATTTAATATAAAAGCTTTTTATGATAGAGAGACATGTCTTCTCCTGGCAACATCCTGTATCTCCTCCAAGGAGACTTCCACCTGGAGACTAGCTTCAGGTGTGACAGGGCCAGCCACAGAGAAAGCTGCTTTGTACCTTGAACTGCTGCTGCTGCTGAGACCTGTCCAGACTGTGACTAAGAGGAGCAATGGGGATCCATTGTCCACCCTGCTGAGACAGGTAGGTCGAGCTCCCCAAATTTCTACTCCACAGGGAAAAAAAAATCTATCAGATCTTCTGGGCTTGGCACCTAGCTAAGGCAAATACTGCTTCTGGGGCTTGTGTCCCCCAAAGAGCACGGAAAGACTTGCTGCCTGGGCGGCTGGAAGACGGTCTCACTTCTGCTTATTTACTTATCCTCTCGTATCTGATGGTATTTCATGACCAGGATACCAATAGACTTGCCAGTTTTACAGCTCTCCCCAACCCCAAGGCTACAAGCACCTTGACAGCTCTTAGGAAGTTTCCTGTTAAAAGGACAGACAGGTGTGCCTCATTCACAGACTCCATACAGGAAAGACTGGTTTATAAATGCAGTTTTGATAGACTGGTAGAGCACTGACCACAAACAGTGTTTAGGGGTCCTTAAATTTCTTAAGGATTCTTAACCCTTTTGCTATGACACCAAGATAGAAGTCTGTTGCAGCTGTTTTACAGACACCTGCAGGTTCCTGCACAGGTGCACCCCTCCTGCTAGACGTGTGCCAAGGCCAATCCACAGGGGGCCCTCCAGATACGGCAGCCCCTATACCAGCTCCAAGGATGCCGACCGGGTGAGTACTGACAGGTTGATTTCACCCATGTCCTCACTCATTAAAGGCTCCATTATCTCTTAACTCTCACTGACACCTTTACAGGATGGATTCACCTCAACCTCCTGGGAAACAGAAGATGTGATGGCTCCTGTACTCCTGGGACACATCATCCCTCGATTTGGTGTGCCATTTCCCCAAGCTCCTAGAACATCAGTGCTGGTACCACCCCTCCAGACTCAAGGGCATATCTGCTCTTCTGTATGGCTCATTCGCCCTTGCCTCTTCTGGACAACCAGGCACATCTCCATTTCATTCTTTCTGGCAGCCACGTCACTTTTCCCATGGCTAACCCTGCACATAGGGCAGATGTTAGTAATCTGTTTTTCCTAGCAACCTACCTTCTCCAGGCAGAACTGTAGCCGTAGCAAAAAGACCTGAGCAGGATGCTTCTCCCAACTGCCCCTGACCTTAGCCCTAGTTATAGAGAGAACCATGTACACCTCCCCCACAGGGAAAGGCCAATCAGAAATGGACAAGCAACTCCAGATGTCCTTCTGCTGAGATTAAAATGTTGCAACTCCCCTAGACCCAAAATAGCCAATCAGCTCAGTCCAGATACCCCTAACAGGGCTTGAGCCAATCCCAGGTCTGTAACTATGCAGTTTTGGAATCCTCCAAGCCCTCCTTATCTAGCCACTATAAAAGCCCTGACCCCATGCTACTCGAGGTCTCTCCTGCTGTGTCACTTGGATGGAGAAGCCCGAGTTAACTCATATTAAAGACTATGTTTTTGCACCAGGTTTGGTCTCTTGGTGGTCTTTTGAGACTTTGGCACAACATTGGACTTTGGGCACAACACTCTGCCTCCTTTAGAAACCAGTGCCTGAGTTCTCCAGGATGACAGTTAATCAGACGCTCCTCCACTCACACCTCTTGCTGAATGTGAGCCCACTGACTCCTGACTCCCCCTTCCATATGCCGCCCCATGCCCGCAGGAAGTACCCAGACTTGAACCAGTGCCCCTATACCCAAGGAGTCTGGAATATTCTGGTGGAAGCCCACCTTTCTCCACAGGTGCACCCCCTCAAAGCCCACCAAACAGCAGCCCCTCCCCTAGAGCTTCCCTCACATTCCAGATCCCCACCCCTCCCTGGTACTGCTCAAGACCATGCCTACAGGTTACTTAAGGCCCGGTAGCCATATTTGCCATGTGACTCTTCCCCTGCCTTTCCAAAGGTCACCCAGGATTGTTTTGCTCTGTTCATTATCCCTGGTTTATTAATTCGACTTGATTGGCTTAATACATCAGTAGTGGCAGATACCCAGCAACTGGGAGTTTAAAACTTATCACAGAGCACATTGATGAAGTTAGGTAAAACTCCAGAAAATGGAAGCAATGATTGGAGGACTACTGTGTTAGGAAGAACAGTAAACCAATGCTTGGTCATAGGAATTCAGATATGGACAGAGAATTGTAAACAGGAACGAAGAAAATTTAGAGGTGAGTGTAGTTAGAAAGTTTCTCTAGTCCCACCCAGCCCTCAGTCCCACAGCCACTTATAAAATAATTACTCAGAGGCTTCTATTAATTACCAATTGATGGCATACGGCAGGCTTCTTGCTAGCTAGCTCTTATAACTTAAAATTAACCCATTTCTATTAATCTATGTTTTGTCACGTGTTCCATGGCTTACTGGTCTGCTGGCATATTGTTCCTCAGGTGACAGGCTGGTGTCTCTCTCCTCTCCTTTCTCCTCCCACTGTCTGTCTTGGATTTTCCCACCTGGCCCCATCCTGCCCTGCCATAGGCCAATACAGCTTTATTTATCAACCAGTCAGAGCAACACATATTCAAAGCATACAGAAAGACACCCCACAGCAGGTGACTGTTGGTTTTGGTGAGGATTTATACTAAAATTGTTCACATTGTAGACTTTCTTGTATGTGGGGTGTGTGTGTGTGTGTGTGTGTGTGTGTGTGTATGCATTTAATTGCCCATCTTGAAAGTCTACACAGGGCAATGGTGGTACATGTCCTAAATCCCAGAACTCTGGAGGCAGAGACTGGCAGATCTCTGCGAGTTCCAGGACAGCCAGGACTTCTGGAGAAACCCTGTCTTGAAAAATAAAAATAAGATAAAATAATGGCCCAATACAAAAATCTGGATCTCCTACTTTCAGTGTTCTGCTTTTCATGGGTCCATCAAAGAAAAGGGGTCACTCCAGAATGTAATTTCATGCTTAGCAAAAGCAGCAGGGTGGGCCAGCTTCTGGTGAACTGACTGCCTCTTGCTTCCCCAAAAGTCCCTTTATTGTTACACAGTTCACACCTTTAGCAATACCAAAACCTCTTATCTGAAGTTGTTTGAAGAAACCACTACCTGAGCAATACTCAGCTATGAGACCTCCTGGTGTGCCAGGTCCTCTCATTACTTAGTTTTCCAAAAGCTCTGAAATTCCTTCAGGAAGAACTCAGATAATAATCACTATTGTTAGTGGGCATGGTGGTGCATGCCTTTAATCCTAGCACTTCAGGAGGTAGAGGGAGGCAGATCTCTGTGAGTTCGAGGCCAGCCTGGTCTACAGAACAAGTTCTGTTCTGTAGCCAGGGCTACACAGAGAAAACCCGTCTTGAATCTCCCCCACCCTCCCAAAAAAAATCACTGACCTTAAACAAATGGTAACAGTAATGACTTTAAATAAAAGGTAGTTCAAAACCTAGGTGCTAGCACTCCTGAATTCAAGCCAGATGCAATGCACTGTGGGATCTCTCACTACACCTGTTCCCCTAGAAAAGCCAGGAAGTTTGGTGAATGTGTTCTTGCTTGCACAGAATCAGAGACTAGTGAACAGAAAAGGCTGAGTCCCAAGGCACATACCTGGACCATAACAACCTCACTTGCCTATGTAGCCAGGGCAGCATGGGAAAAACACATGGAGAACAGCCTAACTAGCCTTGGAAATCTAAAAAGAAATGCTTGCTTTTTTGGTGACCCTGACTACAGAGAAATTAAATTTGGGAGGTTGAGAATATTAATAGCCCCTCATCCATAAGCAAGTAACTAGAGCTTTTCTAGAAGTGCCTGTAACAGAGACCCCCAGATTTACTGCCCCTGACTCTGTGAAGCACAGCTAATGCGAAGGCAGTTAAAGCGAACACTGATGCTTTCGTTGCACTTGTGATTTCCTCTAGGGAAGGGGCACAGCACACGGGTGGACCTCCCCCTTATCACATGGTCACCTGACACACGCCAGGTTCCAGAGGTAAGATAGCTTCAGCCACAGGCACTGGAAGTGACACTCCTCAAGCCAGGTTACCAAGCTCCTGGAGTTTCACATATACCCAGCAGCACCCACTGGAATGTCTATCTCCGGGGCGGATGCCCAGATGCAAGCATCAACTTGTTGCTGATAACTCGCTCCTTCACCAAGGCCACATTAGGAGCTTTTCTGCCATCAGTTGACCAAGCAGATAACACACTCCCTGCACTCTAAGGCATTTATTTCTCTTTGGACTTTGTGGTACCAAAGAATGAAAAGCCATTGGATTAAAGCTTTCCTCTGGTGTAGCAGGAATTTTCTTTGGGCTGCCAGCTCACAAATGATGACACAGAGACGTATTAATTATGAAAGCTTGGCTTTAGCTTAGGCTTGTTTTTAACTAGCTCTTAGAACTTCAGTTAATCCATTTCTATTCATCTACGTGCTGTCATGTATGCCCACCCTGCTTCCTCTGTGTCTCCTTTCATCTCTACCACACCCCTAGGTTCCTCCTCCTTCTCCTCCTCCTCTCTGCCCAGAAACCCCACCTATACCTCCTGCCTATCTGTGTTGTGGAATAATCTTTTTGTACACTGTGAAGATGTGTCACTCTGATTGGCCAGTAGCTAGGCAGGATTTCTGGACAGAGAAGACACTGGGAAGAAGGTGGCGGTGATGCCAGGGGCCACAGAGCAAGGAGCATGGGCATCACAAAGAGGAGGTAATAAAGCCATGAGGCAGAAAGGAGATTAAAAGATAGGGGTTAATTTAAGTTATGAGCTAGTTAGAAACAAGCCTAAGCTGTCAGCTGAGCTTTCATAATTAAAAATAAGTCTCGTGTCATCATTGGGGAGCCAGTGATCCTGACAAAAAAAAGTCTGACTGCAGTGGTGTGGTTTCTGTGGTATTTGAGGAGGCTGGACTTGGAGGTGAAGTTTGCTGCACCCATCCGTAAGTAATTCTTTCTCCTGTGTGAATTCTATGACACAGATGGAAGATAGATCTGTGGCCAAAACACACTCAGCTTCTACCAGTGTGGACTCTGGTGTGAAATGGGGCAGAATTTTGGCTGCAGGACTTCCCACAGTAGTGCATTTATAAGCCCCTCTCCAGCGTGCTCTCCCTGATGCCAAACAAGTGTAATTTTGCAGCTGACGAAGGTACCGGCTTTGTTTAAAGCACACTCACTGCTGAGGAATCTGGTGCGGAGCAAGTCTGTGCTTCTGGCTAAAGGACTTGCTGCATTCACTGCACTTATGGGGGGGGGGGTCTGTCTCCCAGGGGTGTTCTCTGCTGTTGAGAAAGTCTGGAATGTTCTTTTCCACTGTAAAAGGCCTCCCTGCCTTGGTACTGATGGGAAAACTGCTTGGAACGAGAGGTGTGATGCTGAAGAAATTATAGCTGGGCAGGAGGTCCTTCCTGCCATCCTCGGATATGAAGAGATTCCCCGCCACGCTCATTCTGCATTTCTTAGCATGAGAAGCCCTGTCCTCATCCTATGTGAGGTGCTGCCTTCCACTGGCTGCTTCTGATACTAGGAGACGCTTCCCCTGAAGCAGAACTGTGGCTCTGGCATGGAGGGGCCCGCTCTTCATTGCTGAGCATTAGCTGTGCCTCTTGGTGCAGTGGGGAGCCCTGGGCCACCGCAAGCTTCTCCACTTCCTGTGGAGGCCCTGATGTCCCCAGCAGAGGTCCTGATGATGCTCTTTGTTCACCAACAGCGGGGGTATGCGAGGCGTGGGTGGTGCCCTGGGCCTGGGCGGCTGCTGCTCCAGACCAGGACACAGCAAGCTCGCGGCATTGGTGCGGTTGGCTGGAGACGGTCTGGAGTGTGAAGAGGTCGGAGCAGGCTACAACAGGGAAGACGAATGTGAAACTGCTGAGGCACAAAAGGAGATCCTGCCACTGTCGAGCAAAAGGAACACTGGTTTGAAAAGGCCTACAGGACAAGGAAGGCTTCATCATCAAGCAGATGAAGGATAGCACCTGTCTATTCCGGGCTGTAGCTGGAGGACATGCATGAGATTGTGTGACAGCATTGCATGGACTATCCAATGAGGATTGCTGACTACTTCTCCAACCAGGTCCCAAAAGACTTCACCACCTATATCAATCGGAATCGGAAAAACAACTGAGACGCAGGCTATGGCAGAGACGGTCAGCTGTCCTGTGAAGATGTATCAGTATAGCACAGGTGTTTCTGTAGTGGAATCTAGCAACACATTCATTCCATGGGATCCATCAAAATGAAGATGAACCCATCTGTGTCAGCTACCACCGGAATATCCACTATAATTCAGTGGTGAATCCTAACAAGGCTACTGTTGGTGTAGGGCTAGACCTGCCATCATTTAAACCAGGGTTTGCAGCGCAATCCCAGATGAAGAATGCCAAAAAGGCATCAGAGTAATCATGGGTTGAACAGCAAATATTGGAAGACAAGAAATGAGCCACAGACTAAGAGGCCACAGAAGAGGCCATAGAGGAGCAGGAAGCTCCTCAGTGGCTGAGGGATCAGGAGAAACAAGTCCCAGAAAG